ATGAATCATAGATACAGCAGTACAGAATAGGTGCTGATGTATCATATTTGTGTCCATGTGGACTTTAGATAATCACAACTTGCAATGATTGGCCAATTTGCATGGTATAGAGAAAGAAAAGTACTGTAGTTGAATCAAAGGCATTATGATATGATGTTTGCACACAGAAAATAAATGTTCCAATAAAAAAAAAGAAAATCGTTGCATCGCGACTTCTTTGTTTTGAAGTTTGTCTAGATTTTGTTCTTTCCTTCGATCTAAGGGACGGAGCTTTTCGAAAACTTGTCCAATCATTGGCTGATTTGTATCAAGCTCCGCCCTCAAGTCGCAGAAAGACCTAAATCCAAACGATTTCCTTTGAACATTGAAGTCRCGATACAACGGTTTCTGCTGTAATAGCACACACTCAGAATGTATTGCTTTCTTTAAAATGTAACTAAATGTAGTTCATAATTTATTTATCTAATGATAAAATTTTTTTTTAGATTTTTTTTTTAACAACCATATAGCAGTGAGCGACCTAGTGAATACAGTTAAATTTTAATATAACTTTCTATTCATGTGGTAGCCTGSGTAGCCTGGCTTGCCTGGCTGCTCCAAGCCCAAACTCTCTCAGAGTGGCTAGGAATGCCTAGCTATGCAGGCTATTCATGTGGCCATTCCATTTGTTCATTTGTCTAATGTATTAGTATAAATTATTTTAATAGTTTTTTTTTTTCTTTTAGGTAACCAAAGGAGAGACTCTGTCATGAGACAACTGTGATGTGGTYGAATTGTAAAAAGATGTATTTTTATTTTGTAACAAAATGTGTATTCATTTAGCAATTTATTCTCCCAATTATGTATTTTTTGCAATAAATCATGATAATCGTGAAAAAAAGGTTTGTCATTCTTAGCTAATATAATGTTGGAATCTTTCTCTTTTTTGTTTGTTTGTTGTTGTTGTTGTTGTTTTTTGAACACCTAGAATATATATATTTTTTAATATTTAAATTGAATAAATAATTGAAGAAAAAGGCACACAACTTGCAACTAGCATTCCTACTCTTTATTCAAACGTTTCTGCACTTCGGCCTTCTTCAGCAAACTCTGAAGAAGTATATATTTTTTAATATTTATATACAGCTGTTTGCAATAATTCTGACCCCCTCTGCCATATTTCATATATATCAAACTGACCTTAAATATTATGGGATATCATGACTGATATATTTGTTGAGTTGCCCAGAATGAGTACTTTCTCAAAAAAATATC